AAAAAAAAAAAGGAATACGAGTTCGAATGTATTCCTCTAGTTTTCTAAAATAATTGCAACACTGACGCGCGCATGTTTTTTTTTTACAAAAAAAATAAATAATTACCTAGAGTAGGCGAAAAATGTTCGGTTGCGTCTTGCGCAGTTTCGTGCGCGACGATTCTAAAATCTCTTTTAACTTCGTTAAAAAAATAGTTTATATTTCGCTTTTTTACGCGGCGTTCCCTCTTCTGTCTGCGTTTTGCTCCGCGCGCGCTTTTCTCTATATATAAAATACTTTCGAATTCAGTTGGCAACACTCTCTCGGTTGTGTTCGTCTCAAGTATGAATCTCGTTGAGAAGTATAAAGGGATATCAAAGAGTTATACTTTTGTGCAATTAATATACATCGCAATTAACTTCTACCGGGGCAAGGGAATCCTCGCGAGATAATTTAATCCGACTTCGTATTTCTTAAGACGTTTGTTTTAAGAACTCTTTGAGATTCCTCGATGTAGAAATTCACTTAATGAGATTCATTTTGCAATATAAATACAAAATCCAGGCAAAACAGCCACCGGGACGAATTTAAAAAAAAAAAAAAAAAAAATACCGATTTTTTCTTCCCCTCCCGATGCCGAGTCTCATTCAGAGAGAACGAGAGAGAGAGAGAGAAAGAGAATCCGGAGAATTAATAACGAGACCATTCTTCTTCCGGGACTGATTGTGTGGACTCTCGTATGACCCTTCTCTGACCTTAACCTTCACAATAGCCTCGACGTAATCCGTTTCGACAACTCCAAGTTTGTCGAGAGAATGACGTGGTCTTGAGAAGAGAGGTGTTCGCGCGTTTATATTTGACGTGTTCCTTTCCCCCGCAGATTGAGATACTCTAATAGTCACGTAAAGACGTTTCCAAAAGATGTTCCATCGCTATTTGCATATTGACACTTTTAATGACAGATTTTTAAGCCGATCCAAAACAAAGTTTTTTACTTACTAAAAAACGTCGTTCTTAGTTGTTCTTCTTTTCTTTCGGTTTGTGTGTTTTTTTTTTTTTACTCTTGACACTCTCAGCGATCCTGAGCTGCTTTTGGTAAGACTAGTGGGGAAACACCATATGAGGCCGGTCTCATGCACTCGCGCATAGCAACAGAGAAACGAGAGAGAGAGAGAAAGAGAGAGAGAAGGAGAACGGGGTAACTGTGCGCGGAAAAGGATGGTGCGAGAAAGAAAAAGAATAAGATAAGAGAGAGAGAGAGAGAAAGAGAGAAACTAGGCGTGCCGCGTTCAAACGTTTATTTCTCTTCCGTATTTTACCAGCTTACTAACGTGTCAAATGACACACGATCTAAAACATTTATATTTTAATTCGTAATTTCAATTATATACGTCACACGAAATTTCACGCCGTAAGCTATCAAACTTCATCAAGCTACGTTTTCTGTACACAAGTTTACTGAAAGACATCACGTGTGTGTTCCATCTATTTGACTGATTCTCGAAGTTGATGTTTCTTATTTAACGAACGTTCACAATTTGTGGATGTCTTCCGTACAACTTTGCTCATAATTAGATTTATTGTTTTACATTTACGCGCTAAGATTAATTAGCAAAAAGAGAGCGTGTGCATCTCGTCACAAAGAACAATCTTTCCGCGCGCGCGCGCGCGCCCGTATTTATAGAAACTCTCTGTCTCAATTTTGAATAATCAACAGATCTGAATCAAAGTTTGCGCAGGTAACTTTCGATATCCTTTGCTTCTTACTGTACTTTTTTTTTTTTTTTTTACGCTGCGACCGCGGAGTGCCATGGCCAAGTTGAGGTAGGCGGTGAAACAGAGACGGCTGTTGCACCTGGAGCGAGAAAGAGCAAACGGGAATTTCCTACCTACCTAATACGTCCCTCTCCCCTTGGACGATGATGTTGACGACGGCGAGCAGCGCGATGAGAAGTAGCGGGAGAGTGGACGACAATGAAATCGTGTGGGCCCTGTTCGATGAATTCGCCGTTCTCCCGTGTCCCGTGTACCGGTTTTCTCTCCGCCCACGCGCGGGTTGAATCGAATCGAACGATGATTCGATAGTTAGCACGAGTACTCTCTTACGAGAGAGGCATTCTCCGCCAACGAGAGCGGATGCTCCAATACGCAGCGCTGAAAATAAAGAATCAAAGAATAATTGTATGAGAGAAAAGAGTTAGTCGATCGCATACTATACTAGAGAAGAAGAGAAAATTTTGGTTTGCGGCGTGTGTGTACGTACTCGCACAATTGTGTTTCCTTAGAAATGTAAATTATAAATGACTCAACGGGGTGCGGAGGGACCGCGCGGAAGTGCGACGGCAGCGCCACTAAAATCAACTCCGCGTTTTAAAAACATTTTCCCAGATCGAACAAGTTAGATGGCGCCATCCACACATATATAACTTACTTGTAACGCGTCATCTTTTTAATTGGAGAAACTTTCTCAAAATTGCCCGTCCGTTCGGTCGCGAAATTGGCAACCCTGTATAGTGACTATATAGTGTCGCTCAATTTTGTTTATCTTTGAAAGTTAAAGGAAATATAAATTAATAATACACACACAAGTTGCGCGCTCGTGCCGTAAAAAGTGAAACAGGTCGACCGAGATTGGTTTCGCTCGCGTGATTCTTCGTATTTTATCGCGATTCGCGATAAAATGAACTCGCGGGTCGAGAATTAGACTGTATTTTGATTGTAACGTGAAAAACAAAAAAAAAAGAAAGAAGTCGAGGGTCAAAAATTCGCGCGCGGCCGATGGAAGTTTCGCGCGTGGTCGCGCGCGCGCGCGCGAATTAAATTTTCCGACTAACCCATATAAAGGGGGAACGAGCGAAATAAGGTCGCGCCGTTCTGTATCGCTCCCGAAGAAGAATCGCGCCTGTATAACTACCCTATAGTATAAAGTTTAAAGTTAAACCACCGCGCGTTTCATGGGTGCCTTTATAAGCGTGCGAAAGTTTAGTTCGCGCGAGAGCAGCTACCCCATGGAAGCGGGACAAGTAAGCTTTGCGCCTGAATCCCCCGCGGGGGGATTTCATCCCTCCTCCTCGAGGAGAACCATAAATTTTGCGCCATAAATTAAAAAAAATGAACAAACGCCATTTGTTCGGAGGAAGAGCGACGCGCTTCGAGCGCGTTTTTATATTTCGAGTCGAGAGAGAAACGTCGAAACGTTTGATAATCGCGAGAACATCGATTTATCTCGTTTACCCTCCCGCCGAAGAGAATCTTCCTCCCCCTAAAACGCGAAGACCGCGAATCAAAACAACGACGCGAGTAAAAAAGCACATTTCTTCGTCAAATTAAAAATTAATTTAAACATTTTCTCTCCTCCACAAATTAAAATTTTTTCAAATTACTCGCACATGTGTTCTACGCGTTCTTTGCGTCTAGATTTTTGATATTTAGCGGGGCAGCGGAGATCTCGCTCGTACCTTTTTTTTTGTAAATCGAGAGTCCGACACGCAGTCGAAGTCAAAAATAAGCGTCCTGTCGGCGGCGATTCGCTTCCGGGCGGCCCGCGCGCTCGTTTTCACGGCACCAGCAAGCGAGCCGGCGCGAGTTCATTAGCCGCGCCGCGGCGGCGGCACCGAGTACTCCTCGTACTTCTTCGACGGTACAATCGATGCCGAAATAGAGTAACTAGACGCCGATACAGCGCTGACCATCAGCGTGTCGATGACCCGGTGGAGGCGTGCCAACCGAACAACCACCGTTCTGCCCGATCCGCGGGTGCCTTCTCCTCCTCCTCCTCCTCCTCCACCTCCACCTCCTTCTCTTCCTCCTGCTGCCCCCTACGTTTCCTCTCCCGCGCCCTCTCGCGAAAACTCCGCCGACGACCGAATCGTGCAAAAATCCACGAGAAGGTTCGTGTCATGTGTTTCGACTTCGTTTCGAGTTGCTGCCCGCGAGTCGAACCGAAGTTGAGTTCTGTTCCTCGCCAAGTCAAACGCCGCTCGAAACGGCGTGGTTTTCACGTGGTCGCCGAGCCATATCGATTCCTCGGACGAGGCGGCAGATCGGATTCTGCGCCCTTTTCCCTTTTGCCTCTCCCTCTCCCTTCCCCGCTTCCTTCCATCCGCGACCGTCCCGTCGTCGTCGTCGTCGTCGTCGTCGTCGTCCTTCCACCTTCTTTGCCTCGTAGACGAGAGAGGGATATTTACGACGAATTATATGTGACGCTTCTCGCAGGCGGACAACTTCGCCGGCGTTTTTTTTTTTTTTTTTCTGAATTTTTTTTTCCCGATCACAGCGCGATGCGCGAGTGTGCAGATTCTCTCTCGCATTCCGTGCACACTCGCGGATTTACACACCGCGGAACGGAAAATACGAGTGATCGATGGGGGGAGGGAGAGGGGTGTTTCTCTCGCCTTATCACGCGGGGGGGGGGAGGGAACGCCACGGATCTACATCTCATCCGTGCGCGAATATAACTTCGACCCGAGAGTAGTCGTTACGTAATCTTATTAGGTCTGGCTGATTGATAACAGGATAAGCGGCCTGTGAACTTTTGGACCGACGCTGTCGGGAGAAATGACTTTTCCTCAATAAACTTGCAAATCTAGATAAAGATTTATAACTTGATACACACACACACACACACACACACACACGTTTGTGTAGGCTTTTCAACGTCAAAAACATAAAATAAGTAGTAAACACTTTAGCGTTTTAGCGATGATAAAAATGAGTTTGCGTTTGTACGACGCGTGCAAAGTGAGAAGAGAAAAAATTACAAAAAACAGTCGCCTAATAATAAATAGACAAATATACATTAAAAAATGATAATGTGTTTTAATATGTAATCGTGTGTGTGTGTGTGTGAGAGAGATAAAAAAAAAAGATAAATTACATTAACAAAAGAAAACAAAAACAAAATACTATTTATAAATTGATTGTTTCTATCATCGTATATTAGATAATCCTGTGTTGTGTAAAGTTTTAATGAACCTTGGAATTTTATACAGCGACTGATTATGTTAATTCCTTTTTTCAGGTTTATTATGCGAAAAAGAAGAGGAGAGCACAGCAGATGCAAGGGGAGGATGGCTCGCATAAAAAGGAGAGGAAACTCTACAACGACGGCTGGGACGACGACAACCATGATTATATCATCAAGAATGGGGAAAAGTTCCTCGATCGATACGAAATCGATTCGTTAATAGGTGAGACAAAAAGCTGCGAGTTATGCAAATGCTATCAGGATAATTGTTGGCTCTGGACAAACGCAAACGGTGTCGCGATATGTACTTTCCACCTTAATTCGTTCCGTTTATTTCTCAATTATATGTCGTAACGTTTGTCGGACACGCGAAATTGTCGTTTTATTTGTTTCTTTCTTTCTTTCTTTTTTTTTTTTTTTTTTTTTTTTTTTTTTTTTTTTTTTTTTTTTTTAATTTTATTATTTAAGCAGAACTGTTTATTGTTCTTCTGCACACTTGCTTGTCCTCCGATTATAGCGAACTTGGTCTCTCTTTTTTGCAGGTAAAGGCAGTTTCGGCCAGGTAGTAAAAGCATTCGACCACGAAGAGCAAACGCAAGTGGCAATAAAAATCATCAAGAATAAAAAGCCTTTTCTAAATCAAGCGCAAATCGAAGTTAGGCTATTGGAAATGATGAACAGAGCGGATACCGACAACAAGTATTATATAGGTACGCGATAGACACTTGTGTCATACAGACAAGACGACGTTACACACACACACACACACACACCAACAACAACGTGAGATGTATAATCTGTTTTTTCTTTCTGATTGCAGTTAAACTAAAGAGGCATTTTATGTGGCGGAATCACTTATGTCTGGTATTCGAGCTGCTATCGTATAATCTATATGACCTACTTAGAAATACGAATTTCCGAGGGGTGTCATTGAACTTGACAAGAAAGTTTGCACAGCAACTGTGTACTGCCCTGTTGTTCCTGTCGACTCCGGAATTGAACATCATTCACTGTGATCTGAAACCTGAAAACATCCTTTTGTGCAATCCCAAACGAAGCGCGATAAAAATAGTCGACTTCGGTAGTTCGTGTCAACTTGGACAAAGAGTACGTATCCCCAGAGAGAGAGAGAGAGAGAGAGAAAGAGAGAGTGTGTGTCAATTAAGACACATGATGAACATTCGCGTTCTCTCTGTCGTTCACGTTATTTTTTTTTTTTTTTTATTCTCACCTTCGTGTTTTGTCTTGTGTTCGCAGATATACCAATATATTCAGTCCAGGTTCTACAGATCTCCAGAAGTCTTATTAGGTATACCTTATGACCTCGCTATAGACATGTGGAGTCTGGGATGTATTTTAGTAGAAATGCATACAGGAGAACCTCTGTTTAGTGGGGCCAATGAGGTGAAGCTCAATTATATATTCATATAATTCATTATGTAAAGTACAGAAAAAAAAAAAAAAACTCGTAGCTCTCGTAGATTACTTTATGGCACGAGACGCTACTGTTTTTTTTTTATGGCCGTATTGAGATGGATATATTCGCAACGGCACACAATTAAGATTTAATGTAAACATATCGTATTCGGTGCAACGTGAGAACAGTTGCAAGCAATAACACAAATTCGTTTGCGGTCGATTTGCAGGTCGATCAAATGAATAAAATCGTAGAAGTACTAGGAATGCCGCCGAAACATATACTGGACCAAGCGCACAAAGTGCGGAAGTACTTTGACAAAGTCCCCACTGATGGCTCATACGTGCTGAAAAAGTACACCGGTAAAAAGGACGGTAAAAAATACAAACCTCCGGGCACGAGGCGGCTGCACGATATTTTAGGTGTCGAAAGCGGCGGCCCCGGCGGCAGAAGGATAGGGGAACCGGGCCACTCGATGTCCGATTATCTCAAGTTTAAGGACCTAATCGTACGAATGTTGGACTTCGATCCAAAAACGAGGATAACGCCGTATTACGCGCTTCAGCACAACTTCTTTAAGAGAACGGCCGATGAGGGGACCAACACGAATGTCGCTGCCGCCAATAGCGCGAGCACGAGTCCGGCAGTGGTGCCGATGAGCCAGGATCACGGTGAGTCGTTGATCGTTTGACGTTTCGATCTTTACCGAATAACTGTGTAACATAGAGAAGAGAAGTACCGATACCGCATTTATGTGCTTCACATCTGAGTTTCCTCGAAGCTGACAGGTTTTCAACAATTGTTTTTTGCTCTCTGTAACACGCAGTGTCTCTCTGACTTTTTTTTAACGAACAGAAGTTAACTCCGTCAATGTTGAAAACGTGTCAGGTTTGCATTATGTCACAATAACTGTTCCTTACAAACAATTAACTGCAGCAAAAGATATAATCTTATTATCGAAGTATGGCTCTATGTCGCTTGATTTCATTCATCATTCATTATTAATATCATATATATATCGATTATTTTTAATAATACATTTAATCCATAGTGTACCTCTTGGTTTTTTCAGCAGATAGAAATGTCATTATAGAAAAGAAAAAAAAAACAAATTTGCAATTACATTTCAACTGCCCACATAGATAGTTTTATGTAATAGTGTAAAGAGAACGAGACAGGTTGACATTTAACTGCAATCGTGTATTCTGTTCAGGGTGCTACAAGACAAGAAAAAGAATGCGGTTGCTTGACAGTCGGTTTTAGGAATTCCGCTATTTTTGTGTTAGCAAAACGAGTGAAAAAAAGAAGCAGTATTGTTTAATCATGGCTAATCTTACTTCTGAGATATTAATCTTTCTATAATTGAACACAAGGTACATATAAAAAACAAAACAAAAAAAAAAACTTTCAGACCGGAGAGGTCGATTGTGTTGAGAGTTTAGGAAGAGAGTTTTGATTTGTGCAGAAAATAAGATAATTCTTCACATCTCTTTGCGTTTATACGATTCCTTGAAAACAAAGAGAGAAAATTTATACTCTGTTGTTACCTCGTAAGATCATAAGATTGGATAATTACTTACAGTGTACCGGCATTAGGCGACCTAATCAAGGATACACACTTGCACTACATCGCCGAACGTTTTAAGTTTTTGTTTTCTGAGACGTCAGTATCGCGATTTAATTGCAGGCCCCCTTTTTTTTTCACCGGTATCTTTTTTATTTTCTGCGCAAACTAAACGATACTTGTTGTTGCTCGTAGATATGATGGGGGGACAATACGTGGCTCGATGACTGTCGTATCCGCGGGGCGGCGACGACCTGTCCTAGGCCCCAACCCTAATCTTACTTACTAACATAAGTAAGTGCTGTCTAACAAACAATCCTACACACACGCTAAAAGACTAACGATGTCCCTGATTAATCATCCTGGCCTCTTATTATTATATTGCGCGAAAACCTTGCTTGCTTGAAAAATTCTCTCTTTAGGACACGGATTGACGTTGCTTAGCCCGTGTCTCCTAAATTTTACTCATACGACATATATGTATTGTATATACATATCGATGAACACATACATATACATATACATATATATATATATATGTGTGTGTTCATCGATATGTATACACACAACTCTTACGTGATGTCTGTACTATTGAGAGGCCAATTATTCATTATTATTACGAGAGTATCTTTTTTTTTTTTGATAAATTATATACATATCTCTTAGATTATATAAAGATATAAATAAAGTAAATAGCGTCACGCGTCACTGCTGGAATATATATTTCTTTCTATCGTTTTTGTTTGTTTGCTTTGGTTGAAAGCGAGACCAATTGCTGTACGCGAATGTTGATCAGAGATAATTTATTATGAGCGCAGAATATACATATACATATATAAATATATATATATATATATATATATATATATGTATATATGTATGTACACGTATATATTTTTTAAATAAAAGTGTTTTGCATCTGTGTTAAGCGAATTTCTGTTTCTGTAGAAAAGTCACATCATTGTCTTCTAGTTTTTTTGTGCATGCTTTAGCTGCTTGCATCGTGCACTTAAACAAGTGCAATGCTGTAAATGGAACATGAGAATACAAATGTTTCTGTGAAATAAGTTTTGTCCAATAAGTAATATACATATACATGTACTATATTATCTCGTATATTCCTCTTCTTAAGTTTGCCTAATGTATGCCCTACAATTGCACATTAACTAATACAAGTATAATCTAAGAATAAATTGCAATTACGCGATAATGAATAAAAAAGTACAACGCAATCGTATATTTCCTTAAATACGTTACTCTTGTATACTCTGATGTAATTACTCCGATATCTCTTGCAACATATTAAACGCATATAATTAACGTAGAAATTAAGATGAAGAAATTCATCATCAGTAATATTGCAGTAATAGCATGTAAAATATTTATCTGATTTTTATCTCTTTTCTCTCTCAGCTGTGTATAAACTTTTTACTTAAAAGATAAAAGTTACAATACTTAAAATTTAATAAATGTTAATCTATACAATATAAATATAATCTATATCTGACGCGTCTAATGTTAAAAAAAAAAAAAAAAAACGAAACATTACATTACCTTTGTGAATAGGATTGCGGGAAAAGAAGAGTGGTAGCGGTGGAGATTATATTGCCTGCAAATATCCCTGTAGACATTTGAAATTTTGTTTATTTTTATTCCTATTAGTAATTTATTCGATAGAGTAAGAGCTAGAGCGGTTGTCGTGGATGATTATGGCATTAGTGTGTACATATCGCGAGGAGATCGCTAATTGACTCTCTGAGGCTGACTCTTTCTTTTTTCCACTGTCCCAGGACTGGTAACCATGTCGGGACAGGGCAGCAGCAGCAGCAGCAGCGGTGGTAGTCTGCAGCAGATGCAAGCGTCGAGTCTCCCTGGTGGCGGCTACCAACCGATGGACTGCGAGTCCTCGCCCCGTCATACGGGCAGTCGGCGTGCCATAACAACAGGTTATTCATCCACGTCGGCTACTGGAGTGCTCGCATCCGCCCCGATGTCCATGCAGTCCATGGACAGCTCCCTGATACAGAGCTCTCTTGGATCGTACAATAGCCTAATTCTTCCTGCTATACCCCATCTACCTGCGATGATGACCTCGCCAATGATTCAACAACAGAACTTCTATAACTACGGCTACACGACTACCGACAGTCACGGGATGGTCAGACAGCCGTCAACGGTACCCTCCGGTAATCAGCGAGATCCAGACAGAGAAGATAGCCCGATGGTCGGGGTGTGCGTCCAACAGAGCCCGGTCGCCGCCATCCACTGAAATGGCAGAAGGGCAACCGACGGTGGACAATACAAGCTTGTCGCGATCGCGGAAGACCGTGAAGAAGATAATTAGCAGATTTCTGGATAGAAAGCTGAAAACTTGTGATATATATTTCGAACGATGTTATCGTGACGTCGACGGAGAAAAGATAAGGAAATAGTACGGAAAACATCTCGAAAGCCGTTCCCCGATGCTGTTTCTCAGCACAGAGCCGAAATAAGAACACACACACACACATACACACACACGGTGTCGCGATTAGCACTAACTTTTGGCAGTGAATTCAACAAATCTTTCGGACATGTTGTTTTGGCTGAACAATATTGAAAAAACAAAAAACAAAAAACAAAAAAAAATTTTCAAACAAAATTTTCCCCGAGAAAATTTACCTAAAGGACAACAGCAACTTACAAGACCTAAATCTCTCTGTGTCAAGAGATCACAGAAGCGGAGAAGAGAATACTGTAAAGCTCGGCGGCGTTAACGACTGTGCGAAAAGTCCAACGAGAGCGCAAACGAAGAGAAAGAAAAGAGGAAGAGCTATGTGGAAAAAAACCTCTGTTTCTATTATGTTGCTATATTTTCGTATTTTTTATCAAGCTGACTAGCGTCACGTTGGGCGCGGGTAAATATGTGTTTAATACGAAAGATTGACAAAAAGCTTCGAGCACGGACAGACAGTAAGGGTCTAGTGAGGATGAACCCAGCTGGCCTCTCGGGTCCTGCCCGATTTCCACAGAGACACTCTGAGCAGTTTTAGCAGAAACAGCTGAGCGAAAAATTTTCGGCAACCAAACTGTGTGGCCTAGAGAGCGAAAAAGTGATAATTACTATTATTACCGCGTAAAAAAAAAAGATGGAAAAAAGTAAAAAATTACCAATGTAAGCATGTATTCCCCAATAGAGTTTTATACACGATGTCACGAATATAAACGGTTTAGCAAGTACTTGCGAGCAAACAGTCGCGTCGACTGCTAGTTATTTGTACAATACACTTAGGTGAATGATAAGAGTGCAGCTTTAGGGTTTAGCTTTTAAGTGTGAGGAGATAACACACACACACACAGACATTGTAAACTCGATCCTTTTATTTACTTTAATGAGAAATCAAGTATGTTGCAAACGTCAGTTTGTTGTTGAACAAGGACTTTAAACAAACGAGGTTTGCGCGGCTTAAACCAACAACACATATTTATACATTAAAAAAAAAAAAAAAAAAGCAGTAATAAGAAAGTTAAAAAAAGCAGCATACACACATAAGAATCGATCAAGAATGGTATAATCATAACGAAGAACTTAGGTAAACTTTATAATAAACAATACGCGCATATTCGCATACACACGTTTTCAACGCCAATCGTCATTGATTTTTGCCGTTTTGCTCCGATGGTCGCGCTGCGCTTTATGTACCAATTCGCACCAATCGTAAGATAGCGTCATTTATTTGTATAGAAAAAAAAAAACAAAGTCTTGTTTTTAGTTGACCAATAGTTTTTAATCTCGATTAAAACGCGATCCTTTTTCGATTATTTATATTGACTATACATGTGTAAGAGACTAGATGACGAACAAAGAGATAGACACTAAATAATTTTTTCTTTTTTATTATTATTATTATCGAATAATCACATTTTGTCGTGAAAAACTACCAATTCTACACTTGGTTCGCCTTCTCTCATAAAGTTACATTGATGAGCAAGTCGAGTTTTGGACTCCGATTGCTATTTTTTCTTTTTCTTTTTTTTTTGGAACAAGACGGGGAAACTACTTTGCGTAAAAAACAACTTGGAATTATTCCTGATATGTGAATCGTTTTTTTTTTTTTAGATTTGCAATTTGAGAAAATACGATAAAAAGTTCGCAAAATTAAAGTTTATCACTTGAAAAAAAAAAGAAAAAAAAATACAAAAGAGACAAATAATAGATTATATGTGATGCATATAACGTTGTATTTTATACTGTGTAACATTACTTTATGTTGACCACATGTATGTACAAAGTCTCAACAAAATATAAATTACTTTTTGTCTCTTTTTTAATTAATTACTTTATAATTTTTTTACCTCAAGTCTTTCGAGATTTTGCCGCTTTTTTTTTTTAAAGAACCAGTATGACAATATCCTAAAATTGACAAGTGTATGTAAATTGTTTGGGGCTCGATTTGTCCAGAAGTGGTGCAACTTTATGTGAGATGTTATTTATTAAGGTGGACTGAGTGTAAGTGTAGTATAGTACCTGAAGGCAGACCATTAAAAATGCAGCTATAATAACTCCCCACACCACCCAAATATTACAAAAAAAAAAATAAAAAAAATAAAAAGTATGACTTTTAATAGAGAAATAATAATAATATATAAGGAAGAAATCTTTTAAAGAATTATGCATGTTGCTTTTCCGCAATCACGACAGCAAAGTGGAAATATATCAAGTCTGTTTTTTTTTTTTTACGAGATACACATATTTTATATATTCGCGACGTTTATTTATACTTTCAAACGTAAAAGAGAAAAAAAAGAGTTCCGCGGAGACCTGAGAGATTTAGATAATTAATTTACCTTGTTTGTTTTATGTCGTTTATATTATAGTGGTGTATCAGATAAGCGCGTTATCTTTTTTTTTCTTTTTTTGTTGGTTCTATCGATTTACTGTAGCTATTTTAAGACGTTCTATTTTTTATTGCTTTATAAAAGAAAGGTCTCTGATAAAACAAAGCTGCATGTATAATTCCCATTGTAATCGTCATCTTTCAACATTTTAATTGCGCGCGAGATATCGTTTTTGTACACAAAACAATTTTTAATGCGTAAATAGCGGCTGTAAAGCATACATAATATTTCGTCTGCATTGACTGCGACTGTTGTCAAAAGAGCTTGGCCAAAAAAAAAAACAAAAAAAAAAAAGGTATTAGACGACCAAGAAAGGGTTCTTACGATGTATTTTTTCTGGAAAAAAAAAAAAAGTAACGAGAGTCTCACTGTGAAATTTAGATTTGAATTCTTGTTGTATTAGTTGTAAATATATATGAGAAAAATATAAGATATACTTTCGAGGTAGAGTTGAGAAAAGTCTAACGTTTCAACAAGCCATTCGATCTGCTAAGAATCATTTTATTCGTGCGGCCTTTCGAATGATTTGTATATTTTTATACACCTGTAACAACAGGAATATTTGCAGATACGTTTAACGAGATACACAACACATACACACACACATACACACACGAGACATTCTATATTGCAACTCAGATGTTGAGGTCAGTTGTTATACTCGAATTTATACTAAGTTACCGAGCGAAAACAAATTTTCTAACAATAATCTAATAATGTAAATCTCTTCAACGGACAAATATATATAAAATAGGAAATACAAAGGCCACAGACACTTGTACTATAAATGTTTTTATACCGCATTGAGATTTATGGCAATCGGTGCTTAAGGATACGTTAAAAAAGAAAAAAAAAATTCAGGAGTCATAATGAGTCTGTGTTGTGATTAGATAGCTCGAAAGCAATGCTTAAAATAGATAGATTCACTGTGACGTAACACAACTACAAATGATTAAAAAAAAAAAGAGAGAGAGAGAAAAACAGAAGAGAGAGAACTCTCCGTGAAATCATCCAAAACGAAAACGTTAAACGGGAATATGTCGCACCTTACCTCAATGACATTTTTCAATAATTTCAGCGGTTAAAAGTTGTACAGTTGGATAAATATGATTTTAATATTAGATGTAGAGAAAAAAAGAGAAAGAAAGAGAGAGATAGAGAAAGAGAGAAAGATAAAAGCGGCGAGAGACGTTCTAGGATTTTCTGTGACAAATTCTAAGCGTTTTTCGCGAGGGAAATATCTTGTTGAACGGCAAAAATCAGTACGCTCTATAAAATATTTATAGACAATGTGTGGTGTGATGTCACACACGAGTCCTCTTCCGAATTTTTCATGTTGTTAACACGCTGTGCTCACTAGTCCCACACAGATGGTGTTCATATATAAATCGCATTGTTCACGCAGAGAGAATTGTCATTCGAGAGAAGAGCCAACACACGCAACTATTTTTTATCATCCGATATAAAAGTTCGAGTCATTCGTCGACTTCGCTTTTGCGATAACGTTGCACGCGACAGAATAACCACTTGTAAAATACAGTCTTTCCATCGGATGGTTCGTACCGCGAGGGCAATTATTATTATTATTATTATTATTATTATTATTATTATCATCATTATTATTATTACGCAAATTAATACAAGTACTTGGAAACCGGTCTTCCTCGTGAGAGAATGCCGGAAAGAAGTTTTATGCACAATTCCGACCGATTATGTATATTTACGGACTCCTGGGCACAGCGACGCGTTTGATAAATGCATCGAAGCGCATTGTTTCTTCTTTTGACGATTGTTGATTTTAACTGAATGAATTATTATCGTTTACCCGTAGCAAAATAATCGATTGGTTGATAACGGTACATCTCTTTTAGCGAAACTGTAAAAAAAACGAACCGCCGACCTCGCACACATGAACGAGAGGAAAACTGGCGCGTTCACACGAATTTATATAAATTTGAGAAAGACAATTTTTTTTTTTTTTTTTTCAAGCGTGGCGTGAAAAAGCCGCGGTAGGAAACAATTCTCTCGTACATCGGCGAATAATATTTAAAAAAAAAAACAAAAAAAAAACGGCAATGTGAAACCCTCAAACAAAAAATCGCACATACCAAGCGAAGCAAAAACGAGCGTGCCGATAAACACGTAGCTATGCGAATAAAAACTTGTCTTGTTTATTTGCGCGTGAACGCGGTGAAAAATGCGTTTACTTACTTACCATTCAGTAGTATCAGCCAATAGAAGAAAAAGGCCCGACGAGCAGGACGAGAATTCCCGTTAGGATTCCTTTCGCTTTTCTTTTTCGATATGCGCGTTTTTTTTTCTTTTTTCTTTTTTTTTTTTTTATAGTCTTGAGTTCGAGAGTCTCACCATCCCGGAAATGAATTTGTCCACTCAACAGCTGTCGCAAAATGCAAAGTATTTAAGCCAATTAGCAGACAACAGAAATGTATACATTTAATAGCGTATAAGAAAACCGGCCGTGATTCATGTTCCAAACGATTTACCATTGCATTTCGATTTAACGTATATATATATATACACATAACGTATGCAGATTTGATTTGCAGAATTTTTAGAGTTCACGAGAGAAAGAGAGCGACGAAAAATTGAATTATCAATTCTGATATATGTGTAACCGACTCGCACGTGTATGCGATTTTTTTTCTGACTGTTTGCAAACGTTTGTAAAAGAATGCGAAAACAGCACTCGAAAAATTGCTTTTCGCCGTCTACTGCCCAAGACGAATTTTCAAAATCGCGTGTACACTAGTTCTCGTTTTCATTGTTTTACATTTTTCCCCAATTTCATCATCGACATTGTGTTTGTAAAGTTTTATATATACAGTATACATTGTGTAATCTTCCTTCCGATTTCCGTCATTGTTGGCGGTGACTTAAAATTATACACCGTGTTAATTGTATAATTGTGAACTTGTTGATTTTCAGTACTGCCAGCAATAACGAAACACGCCTCTCTATATATATGTGTGTGTATACGTAAAATATATACACAGATGTATACACGTACATACATCTGTTCTTTTTTTCTATGTATATTGTATATATATTTTCGAACAAAAATATATTAAATTCATTGCACAAGTTTTATTTATTTACACGTGTGTGTATATATATATATTTGTTCTGAATATAATTGTTCGAGATTCAAACAAGTATATAAATTGGGCAATAGAAGATTTTTTTTAATATATCGCAATCGTGACAAAACAATAATCTTTCTTCCGTGTGCGAATCATCACAGGGCAGCGTTCAGGCAGAACGAACTGCTTCTCGCAGCTTAAGATTTTCTGCTGAACGACGTTTTCACCGGTTTATTTTATACTTTTCCAACTTGTTTGTTAAGCGATCGCCGTGTTTTGCAGAAACCAAAAGTACGTGTGTGTACGTACGCTTATAAAAAATAAAAAAATAAAAAAAAAAAGAGCGTATTGCGCTGCACAATCACGTAACCTAAGAGAAAAAGCGTTCAGCAGAAAGGTTTAAAAGCTGCCGAAAGCGCGGCGTAAAGCGCTTTAAAAATTAGCACTGAATTCTGCTGAGCGAAGCCAGTCAGTTTTTTTTTTTTTCTAACAATCATTGTTTCCCGCGTACAGAGTCTCTCAAGCCTGCGACCTGACGACGTAGAGCGAAGGAGGCGCGCGCGAGCGACGCTTTGAACAAGTTCGCTCGCAAGAAGGAGATGCGCGCGCGCGATTCTTCTTCGTTTATACTTTTTGAATCCTTTTGGAACATGTTGCTACGGCAGAAATAAAAATAACCTAAGTTTCTCCTAACGTCATGTGTAAAAGCATTGTGTTCAGAAACAAATATAACTATAATACGACTGATGCGCCTGAGAGGCGAAGTGCGAGCGTCCTTTGAGAATTTAAATAGCATGAGAGGTGATGATATGATACATGATTGTCTTTGATGTCTCCGTTTCGGCGACCAGCGTACACCAATCGGGACAAAAAAAAAAAAAAAAAAAAAAAAAAAAAAATTATAAGGGATGAATGCGACGAACGGAAGAGAGGGAGTGAAAAAAAAAGATAGAGAGAATGCGCGCGTGTACGTGTCCTTGTGTTCGTGCGTGTACGTATTATGTGTGGAAGTGAGTGAGCGAGTGAGCGAGAGAAAGAAAGAGAAAAAGCGAGAGAGAAAGGAAAAAAAAATCCGTGAATTAAGAAGCAAAAAAGCTGATGTATTATGGTGGAAAAAAAAAAAAATAATAATAATTAACAAAACTCCATACCGGAAAAAGGAACTTGTATCTAACGTGTATACATTGTCATAACATTATTATGATGATTATTATAATAATTATTATATATATATATAATAATGTAATTGAAAATTTGAAACGATAATATTACATAAGGTTAATAATAAACAAAAGCATCTTCACCTTTTGCTGTTACCTTTTCTTCCGTTTTGTTCCGTTTTTATGCCTCGCAAACACTGAGCGAAATCGACCGAGATGAGAATTCAAGTAGTTGGAAATGTTTTTTTCACTAAAATATATCTATACATCAGAAAGAAACATCGCAAATATTAGAATTAAAAGTATGAAGTTTCGTTAGAGAGAGAGCTTTTCAATTGTTAAACGTAAGAAAGATCTGAACTCTGAATTTTGCGATTGAGAAGTAATTAACTCACGTAATATTTTGATATGATGAACTGTTTTCTTCTGTTTGAGAAAGAGACGAGGATTCGTGTTCGCGTCGCTTACTGTTCGCTCTCTCTCCGTACGAGCAAGCTTCTTCGAGTCTCGCGCCTCAATGTTTGTGACAAAAAATATGTGCGCGCAAAGCTGCGGTGTTTTCGAAACCCTATTGGTCCGTAGAGTAACGTTTCATTGGTCAATCTGGACAAGAGCAAAAAATTTCTCTTGTCTTGATTGGCTAATAAATGCTACGTAATTTACTTTTCGCGGAAAATGATTGGTCGTCGCGTCTCTTCCAGTCGAGTTTTGTGCAGCGGCCTTTAATCCTTGCTTGGCTAAGGCTGCGTTTGTGGAGCGAGCACTGTTGCATCATTCTATCTTTATTGCTCATTAGATGTAAAACAAAGATAGAATGACGCAATAGCGCTGATAGCGCGCTCTACGAACGCAACCTATATGTTCCGATTCCTCACCCGAGTATACTTTTATTTTTATCACTCACTCAGATATGAAACAAGGATAAAATGACACTTGGATGCACTTGGGTGGGAAATCGGAACACAGCCCTTGTTAAAGTTCCGACGCAGAGGAAAGAAACGAATCTGAACATCTGACAGGCTGCGTTCCGTTTTACGCGCATTTATGTATAGTACACGTCACGTATAGTATAGATAAATGCGCTCATATGCATAAAACGGAACGCAGCTATAGATATGTATCCGAATCGGCGAGATAACATGTCCGCCATCGGCCATGTCCGCCAATTGTCCGTTTCGCGGATACTCGCGGGAGAGATTGGGCTTGTCAATTACCAGCGCTTCAATTTTTTAACAATTACAGCCGGTCGGATGGCACTCGCGTCAAATTAATTGCGTGTAATTAATCCCCGATGGAAAATGAGTTTCTCCGTGAAGAAAACGGGCGGCAGAATGTGGCACGAAGCGCGCAAGCAGGAAAAGAAGATCCGCGGGATGTTAGTCGATTATCGGCGCCGAGCGGAACGTCGACGGGATTATTACGAGAAAATCGTAAGAACGCGAGAACACGTCCGATACTCACACATATCGTATTTTGCGTAATTTAGACTTGTATGTTACGTTAATTTGTTTCTTACGAATGACAGAAAACACTTTTTTTTCTATTTTTGACAACTGACCTTCGACATACGACACAAATTCTTTTTTCTTAATTCGAATTAACGGATCTAATGGATCTCTTATTTCTAATTAACAGATTTAATAGATCTTGTTCTTGTTGCGCTCATTTTTTACCTTCTAAACTTTAATTACAAGACAAAAATTACCGACGCAAATATATATGACACTTGAAAAATATTTTAAATAAGAATAATATTAATACAACTATATATATGTAGAATTTAATTTTTTTTTTTTATATTGTTCTAGAAATCAGATCCTACACAATTTCTCCAATTACATGGTAGACCCTGTAAAATACATTTAGATCCAGCAATAGCAGCAGCAGGTGACAGTCCTGCAAACATGTATGTAATTATGAACCTGGAATATAATTAGTTAATTTCACAAAAATAGTTACTAAATTGAATTGTTGTATAAAACATGGTCAATGATACCAAGGGAGGAGAGACACTACTTTGTTTTAATATTGGAAAAATAAATTTGATTCTGTAGGATGCCCTGGCAAGGCAATGAAGATAATCTTATAGATCGTTTTGATGTGAGAGCACATCTGGATTGGATACCTGAAGCACCTGATACAATTGATGTTGATATTGCTCTGACAAGTGAAGACAGACATATCAATTACGAACGCTATCGTATAATTGTACAAAATGAGTTTCTAGGCGGTAGGTTGTTGCCTGTGATTTATCTTGTTTTACAGAAGCTACATAATGAACATTCATTAAGAATTCTCTTTCGCTGTATTGGTTAGAAATTCTCGCTAAATAATAATATAATTCGTTTTATTTAGTGACTGAAGAAAAGTTCCTTCATCAAATATATCTAGAGGAACAATTCGGTTCGTCCACAAAATTAGATTCTGCAAAAGATAAGAAAAAATCTGCAAACACCGCAGCTATTGGATATAATTATGAAACGGAAGAGCCAATACCTGAGACAGTAAAACCAGTCGATTCAACTGCCTCGGAAGACAAAGGAGATGACGAGGATAGTGATATAGATTTAGGTATATTTTTCTACGTGGAAAGCAAAAGACAATGTGTGTGTTTAGCCGAAGTTAGCGCTACGTAGCGCTAACTTCGGCTAAACACACCCAATGTTGATTGACTAGCGCATGACTCACGCGTTTTGACGCGTCCTGTGTGTGTGTGTGTGTGTGCGAAACCCGTTAGATGAATCCAAATAAAAAAAGAACCAATTTTGATATGCGACATTGTTCTTGTTTTTAGACATATGTGTAGATGTCTCACAAATAGAAGCATCTCAGGCGCACGAAATGAATTTAGTAGCTCAAAAGTATGGACTTTTAGGTCAAGATTACTTTAGCTTTTTAACCCAAGATTTTGAAGAAGCCGAAACTTTGCGACAAGCTCGTAAACAAGAAGAAGAAAAAGCTATGTATTCGGTAAATATCAGTTTTAGCAATACATGCGCACACAATCTTATAGTATATAGTTTGTTTCTCTCAAATAGGGTCGGCGATCGCGTAGGGAACGACGTGCGTTTAGAGAAAAAAAAATGATAGGTCGTGTTATGAGCCCGCCGAGGTAACGGCTACTTGTTACTTTGTTTGTCGTCTCAAAGATATAATTGCTTATTATATTAGGAATGTGTTATTTCTCTCTTTAGTTATGCAGCCAGAGAGAGTCCCGAATATAATCCTTATAGAAAATCGTCTTCTAAATCGCGATCGCGATCTGCATCGCCCGTGAATACGGGTCAGATTACTTACATTACGAGCTTCGGCGGGGAAGAAGAAACTCACGGCAGCACATCGCATGTATCTTCGTCGAGCTCGAGAAAAGTCAATTATTCTCATCTTAGACGACGAAGGTCGGACAGTCCTGCTTTCAATGATAGAACTATCAGTAGAAAGTTATCCAAGTCTAGATCAAGAAGTTGTTCGCGCTCTGTTAGTAGAACAAAGTCATACAGATCACGAGATAGCAAACGGAGTAGCTCGAGAGTAAGGTAAGTTGGTAAAAGAAACGCAAAATATAACAGGACAAAGTATACTTTTTTATCGCAAGAATTTCTTTACAATCTTGTTCAACACGGTCTTTAACTCGAATTGTTGTTTGCGATCTAACGTGTTTTGAATTGTATCTTGTTCTAGATCTAGAAGAGCGCGTTCGAGACCGCGAAAGTACATAAGATCCCGAACAAGAAGCAGGTCTAGACGATCGCGAACGCGTAGTAAATCACGCTGTAGAAGTATCGGTCGATCTAGAACTCGTTCAACCACTCGATCCAGAACGCGATCTCGTTCACGTTTGAAGAAATCAAGAACTTCATCATCAAGCAGTGAGTCGAAATCGAGATCGAGATCTAAATCGCGTAACAGAAGTCGCTCTAAAGACAGCTATCGAAAGAGACGTTACTCGCCGTCGAAGTCAAAGTCGAAATCGCGCTCGAGATCAAAATCTCCGACAAGATCCAGGTCAAGATCGAGAAGTGAGTCTAGTTTGAAACGATCACGCAGTGAGGACAATAAGACGCCAGCACTTCCGAGGTAAGAAATTATCATTTATTTTTTTTTTTTTTTAACGCCACGTGACGAACGTATGACCTGTATCTGTTTTGTAGGTATTATGGCCGACGTGGAAAGTCATCAAGTCTTGAACTAGAGTTATCTGATAACGAAGTAAAATCCAGTCCAACAGTACCAAAAACACCAATGACTAACGCAAGCACGTAAGCACATACTTAGTAAAAGTTAAACAATGAATATTAGTTAAAATACAAATGAATAGTTTTAGATGGACTCAAATTTTCTCTGAAAATTGCAGGAACAAGCCAAAAGCAGGGTTAAGTACAAATTCTGGTGGCGGGCACAAAGTCAGTAAGAACCGTAACGCTTTCTTAGTCACTTAACGCACAGAGAATAAAGACAGAACATGCTTGTCTCTATATAAGTACCATCAGAACGAGGAGCCTCAACAGGCGTTTCTCGTTTTCGTTGTTGTATCACAGTCATTGACGTATTTGACGTCATTATCTGAGTTCATTTCTTATTTTATTTTTAAATATTTTATTGAGCAACGACGAGTTAGATTCACTAAAAAAAAATTATAAAGTTCACATTGTGCTATGCTATTTTGAGAATTGTTAATTTTTGATGAATTTGAACTCTTTTTTTTTTTCTTAATTTGCTCGTGTATTTACAAATCATATGATAATAAAAGAAACAATCTTTTTTTAATGATTATCTTTAGTTTGTATTCTATATGTTGTAATAACAAGTTAGTGCCATATGTACATGGCAATGTGCATATTGGACTAAATAACATCAACAGTGTGATATCGATTTATAGATGTTTAAGAGTTTATCTTTTTCAGTCATTGAAAATAACACCTCAGGAGCGGCTTAAGAGGAAAATGCAGGCTCTGCTAAACAGACAGTGTAAGAGTTGATTATTTATTTATTTAAATGTGAATAAGCTACATACGTTGTAAAAAAATAACTATCTTGCGACATAAATAATATGTTCTTTTAGATAAAGCTGATAAAAAGGCTGAACAGTTAAGAATTGAGAAAATGGAACAACAGAGACAAGATCGGGAAGACGAAATTCGAGAAATGTCTCTGAAGCTTCGTAGAAAGTAATTGGTTTTTAGACACAGTATTCATTTAGTTCAAAGTTCTAATATTCATCTAAATGGTAATGTTGATTCTATGATTTTCAGACAAAGAGAGCGAAGACATCGATATGAGGGTCACAGTTCTGACACTCGTTCTTCTGTATCTCGTTCGCCAACCCCCAATCGTAGTCCAAGGCACTTCGCTGTGCGTCGCGAGAGACGGGATTTGGATGGTGATCGTGAACGGGATAGAGACAGAGAAAGAGATCGACGCAGTGATCGCGACCGAAGTAGAACTGAATCATCACGCAGACGATACAGAGACTCGCCGCACCGTTCGTTGAGTCCAAAGAGCAGTCGGTAAAGTTCAGTCGATTGCAGTTAATCCGACAATTTAAATTAAAAAATGCCGTGTTATCTCTATTTATAATCTTATTAAAAAAAAAAAAATACAAAGAAACAATCGGACTACATTTACACCGTAACGATAATCTGATTTACTGATTTATTTATCGTGTGGTTGTTGAATCAACATCGGTCAAACGACTAGTACAATTGCCGTGTAAATATAGTCATTAATTAATTTAATTTATGTTGATTTATATTAATTTATGTTAATTTATATTGATGCAAAAAAAAACAAGATAAAAAGTGTTTTATATGCTACTAATTGTGTTATTTTCTCTTTATATATAGAGGCCTAGTCGACTATTGACTTCGGGACACACTTTATCTTCCATCCAAATGATCTAAAAAGGACGGACGTTTTAAATACTTCCTGTTTAACTTCATCCCTTCCTTGAAAAGCTGTTAAACTTTCTAACAATGTATACTGTTATACACTTATATCAATGATATGTGAGAGATACGAGAGTTAAAAAAAAAAGAAAGAAGCGCGATCACTTGTTCTAAAATATGTTATGAATTAGTGCACGTAAACAACTTGCTTGAATCTATAAAAATAAATAAAAACTATTTATATATATATACATGAATACATATATATAAAATTGTTTCTGCGCACGACTGACTTGCGATGATATGTAAACATAGCATAATGGCATTTTTGCAAAGATTGTAGTTTATAACTTTTATTTCACGCAAAGTACACTATCTCTCTCTTGTGTACCGAAAAAATAATATACTTTATAATTATAGGCACTTTAGTTACATTATTGTTAAACATGTCATTGATAATAATAAAAACGCTCCATTGTGGAGTAAGACTAGCTTTTATCTTAATGCTTGTATCTTAAATGTTTTTCTTTTACAATATGCAAAACTTATCTAAGTGACTAATTATTATAACAAGTTATACATATACATATGTATAACTTGTTGTAATAATTAATTGATCCAAGGCCTTAGCATGTACTTTTGTAACTATTTAGAGCATTGTAAATCGAGCATTATATATTCCGCAACTTCTTCGGCTTCTAATAATGGTCTTAAGCATTTTTTTTTAGCAATTAAGGCGGTAATGAACTTGTTATGTCGATCAAACAAGCAATTAGAAGTTTAGACTTATTTTCATAAAATACTGCTTATATACTGCTCGGACGGATAAACAATTTTTTAGAATAAAATAGTCGAATCTTTTAAATCTTAATTTTCTAAAAATTGTTGCGGTTATTGTTATCTCTATATAATATATGTCGATATTACAATATATTTGTAGTTTAAAAGTTAATAACGTAAAAAAGAATGACATACAAAATAGAGATAGAAATAACATACAAGAACATAATGAGATCAGACTATGACTTAGAAACTTAAAATAGACAAACGATCTAAAACTAAGTATAAATCTAACACACACACACACACACACACACACACACACACACACACACACACACACACACACACACACACACTTCTTTTTATATAAATTATCACTCCCTACATATAAGTACGAGATTTTTATTTGTGGCATAGTAACACTTAAAAAGTCATGGTCTTTATGGTCACTAAATATTTATAAAACAATATTATTATTATTTATTATTACTTCAGCCTGACGGCCAAGAAGGGAACTTGGTTACATTTCTTACAATTTTCTTTCTACCTTATCCTATTACATAGGGTAACTGTCCCTATTAGTGTGCCTTTATATTTAAATAAATATTACAGAAAAACAAGTGACAATAAATAAGTAGAGTATTTTTTTATTTATAGTTATGATATCAATGGATTTTTTAAAAAAGTTAATTTTACATTTGCCTAGTTGCTAGCCCGTTTCTTATGCCGTTTCTTCTCTCTTTCTCTTTCTCTTACTCTCTCATACTTACATGGGCTGCGTTTCGATCTTCACTGCCGATACTGCAAATCTACAGCACATGTGACGTAAAGTATAGATTTGTA